ACTGCTTCTTTGCATCTCTTAAGAGTGTGTGTGTGGGGGAGAATCTTAATTAGAGAAATTCCAGCCATTGACTGGATGATAAGCAATTGTCTGAAGAAGTTAGAAAACCTTGGTTTCCTTTTTTTGTTAGAAGCATTATGCAAGGATGTGTACTTGGTTGGTGCCTGCTAACAGTTTGCTAAGATGTAGTCAAATGTATCTAGAAGAAGGCATTTGTTTGTCACTGGTGTATTAATGCTCTTTCAATGCTTTGTTTCCAGGCCTTCTTGCAGATGTGCAATCTGCCAGTTCGGGTGGTTTGCAGGGCCAATGCAGAGTACATGTCCCCATCTGGTAAGTGCGGCCTTCATTTAGATTACTGCATTACACCTCCATTTTGGTACCATGGCAACCGTGCCTTCTCTCGCTGATAACAGGCGGTCAGCGCTGCCCTGTGCGGGGCCTTCCCCCTCCTCCTGTTCCTTTCCCATAAGCAATTAGAACAGTTACATGTCAACTAACAGTGGTACAACACGGAACCGAGGCTGTGAACGCAGTACGTCAGTGCAGCTCAAATCTCTGGTGGCAATCTTCTCTAAAAGGCCTAAGCAGAAAGACTTACATTTCCTAGAATGTCTCTATTCTGCATCCAGGGAATATTCCTGCCAATCAGCGAGTGCTGGTATATTCTCCCATATGTGAGAGGGTGAGAATACTAGAGAGCCTCTTTTGTTACCTTACCTGAGAGATAATGGCCAGTATGTAAATACAGGGCGAAAATGAAGAGTGAGTGCATTGTCAGCTGAGGGTGACAGGTGATTTTAAACCTTTCTCTGATAAAGGAGACTGTCTGGGGAAAAAAACAACCAACCAAACGAAAACACCCCAAACCAGAACCCCACCAAACCTACCAACAATAAAGTCACCGTATGAAGCGTACAGTCTGCTTTCTGCTGAAGGTGACTGGTTGCCTAAAATTTCCCAGAGCCTGGTTCCAGAAGGTTGCCTAAAACCCAGCGGGAGCTGCTGACTGCAGGGCTCTCCAGTCTGGCAGTCCTTGCACTCCTTCCCAGTGTTTTGTTGCAGAAGGAGGTGCTTCTTTGCCAGTTGCCTGCCTCTAGCTGATGCCTGCCTGTCAGCATGGCTGCCACCCGTATTGCTTCTGTTGCTGCTGGTATTGCAGGCAAAGCAAGTGGAAACAGAGTAAAAGCTAGCCAAACTTTGGAGTTATATATGTGATATATAAATAAAGGCTGTGTTGGAAAGCCGAATGTCTGCACAGAGGAGCTTCTTAAGTGTGCAGCAGCAGGACAGATGGCAGCCCTGTGCCCTTTGCCTCCCCAGCCCATGGCCACACTTGTGGGCACCTGATGTGTAATTTTGGTCTGACCCCTTCTTCTTTCTGCTGGCTGAAGAAAATGAGCACAAAGGGAACGGATACCAGCTCAATTTTAAACATAGCTACACATGCTCTTTTTGCCCTTACTCCTGGATTTTTATTCACTTTCCCAATTGTCTTTCTTTACAATATTTTGATTCTGTAAGAATAATTCAAAACAGGTTTTTAATTGCTGTCCACTCCTCTGCCACCAACAGTTTCACGACAGCAGTAGACAGATGTGTATCTCATCTTTTTGGGGTGAAGGTTATTTACCTCACAGTCCACATAATGAGAAAATCCATTACGAGGGAGTCAGAATTGGAGCACCAGAGGGCTGGTTGTTGTGTGTGAAGTGGAACCTGATGGATATTGTGAAGCTCTGGAGCTCAGAGGGGGCTGTGTTTTCTTTCACAGTACGCAGCATACGGACGCAGTGCAGCCTTTGGTATGGTGCACTTCTTTACCCTGAGGCCAGCTGGGCCAGTGAGAGTGAATCTCAGGGTAAAAATAAAGACTGGATGTGCTGTGAGCATGAACTCCGTGTGAACTAGGCCAGCAGTAGCTTTTATGTCAGTGGAAAGGAATGCATGTATTGCTAATATGTTTGGAGCTGGGCAGGTATTGATCTTGCTCTTCAGGCGTTTTGTAGAGAGCAGAGTTTGCCCACAGTGAGACAGGAAAGTAAGAGTGTGCTGTGTCCCACTGCACTGGGCTGCTTCTTTGCTGTATTTGGTCGTGAGGGCTTTCTCAGTAATACAAACTGCCCAGTGCATGTCTGTCTTGTGGCCAGTTTCAGTCATGTAAATAATCATAAACATTTAGTCTTAAATTTACACAGTACTTAAGATTGATGTTTGTCATTGCAGTTGATTGAAGAGTTAGAAAATGAGCAACGTGATTAGGGTGGGTTGAAGGAAGAGGAGCCCTCAGCTCTCCTTTATGAGCTGGTCCCAGTCACTGGAAATCTAGGAGGATAGGAGGAGAGAGAGACAAGATCCAGCCTTGCTGAGTGTGCATTTTGCTTTCTCCTCTTGCTTTTCTGGGCTCGGTGCCACATCTCCCACATTCATTTCAGCAGCCCTTTCCCTGCTCGTGGGTTGGAAGGGAGGGTGGGAACGTCTTCTTGTCAGACTGTCCGAGGGCTCAGTCTGATTGCCTGGGATTTCCCACCTGTACTTCAGAGCAATGCTGAATTCAGTCTTTCCAGCAAAGCAAAATCTGTTATTAAAATACAGGTCAATAGATCTCATTCAGTAACTTTGAGGTAAGGAATTGCAAGTCAAAGAGGGTCAGAAGGAAGAAGATCGGGCAGTTACACTGGTTATTGCAAATGAAAGCTGTGTGAGCTTCATGTGTAAAAACTTGACCTGTGTTCATCTGGAAAAAGAAAAAACAACAACAAAAAACCAAGACTGATGTTCAGGCATACTTGTGATATTTAATTGCACCGCAAATAGGAAATGATAGTTGACATGTATAAAAAGCTCCTAATAAAATACATTTCTCATTTTACAGGCAAAGTGCCCTTTATTCATGTGGGAAACCAAGTAGTATCTGAACTCGGGCCCATAGTCCAGTTTGTGAAAGCCAAGGTAATGACACACAGTCTGCATCTATTACTGGGTTGCGTACCAGTCTTCTTTAGCACTGCTGTGCAGTTGCTGTGCTCTGCTGGAATGTTACTTCATTGTTAAATCGGTGCAGCAATCTGGTGCTGGTTCAAAAGAAAGACACTCCGAAGTGAGAGCGCTGAGGTGGAAATGTTTCAGTTTAACATTACCTCAAATTCAGGAAGCAAATTCTGTGCAGGACACGTGCGTTCCACTGCCAGTTTCTGCAGCTGGTTTTCTACGTCTCTGTCTCTGAATTTCTAAACCCAGAAATCACTGGTGTAAATTTTGAAGTTGTATTTTCAACAACATTGTTTTCTCACTGAGCACTTCATAAAGCTGTAGCACAGATGTAAATCTGTGTTTACTTCGTGACACAGGCTGTGTGCTCACCTCTAACTGGTAATAACTACATTTATTGCAGATCAGTTCTGTTACATTATGATTATTTCTTTTTCATTCTAAAGGGCACTTTATGTAGAAAGTACGTGTGTAACTTGTGACGTGTTGTGTGACAGATCAGTATCTGAACCAAAGCTCATTGACTTCTGAGGTCTTTGGGTCAGGCACTGCTGAATATTCCAATATCCTCCTTACGTGTCTCTTTCTTTCCCCATTAGGGCCATTCTCTCAGCGATGGGTTGGATGAAGTCCAAAAAGCTGAGATGAAAGCCTACATGGAATTAGTCAACAATATGCTCCTGACAGCGGAGGTACAGCAAACCATAGTAACTGCTCATACTTCCATAAGGGATCATAGGCAAGAATGCTTCATGATATTTTCTTGTTCTGGAAATACTGTTTGTTCTTAGATAAAAATCTTAGATCAGATCATCAGTTTTTAAGGTGAAATGAGACAGGAATAAATGCTGTGGATCCTGTGGACTACTTGATGACATATTCCTGCAGACACAAGCCATGTGTACAGCTCCATTTGCCTGTCTGAAGCACGCCCTGTGGCTGTAGAAGTGCCTGATTTGCGCGGATGGAAAACGCCAGCAGTCCTTGCTGGCTGTGCAGCCCCACTGCCGCCTTCCACACAGCTGCTGGGCCTTGCTGGAGGCTGGCCTGCCCCGCGGGTCGTGCCCATGGCCTGTTAATGTGATGTGGGGCCGGTGCTGGAAATGCTCGCAGGCACATGGCTGAGGGAACCTGGGTGTTGAGCTGTGTGTGGCACAGGCAACTGCAGCGGGCCTTTGGCTCCAGCTTGGTTCTGCTGCTTGCAAGCCGGCAACTTGGAGCTGGGATTGTGACTCTGGTTTTAATTTCTTCACTGTGAAGTGAAGTCTAATAGAAGGCACCAAATGGAAATTTAATCTAATACAGAAAGGAAAATTCTACTAGTGAGAAATGATTGTATCTGTATTCTCGTTTATTAGGAAGTTGTAGTAAGTGCTCTTTCTGTTCCTAGCTCTATCTGCAGTGGTGTGATGATGTTACAGTAGAGGAGGTGAGTGGTTCTGCAACATTTATCTTAATTAAAATTTAATGAGAAAACACTTTTGCTCACAAATGGAAGTCCCTACTCATAAATGAAACATTGAGCTCCGTTAATGATACAGTCTTCTCACTTGAATTCTGCTTGCGTATACATTTCAGGGAAGTTGTAACTTTACTGGAGGTATGTGACTGCAGAACAAATATGAGTTCTGCATATGTTTCCAAGGTAATAATTTCAAATGGTTATACTGAAAACAATAAATTCTGCACAAATAATTGCAACGTATCACACAACATTCTTTTTCTTTATTGCTCTCTTAGCTGTTTTGTAAATAGAGCTGCCTGCATTTTTAGATTGTAACAAAGTAACTTTCTGTTTCTTAACAAAGATTACTCACCCAAGGTATGGCTCTCCTTACCCCTGGCCTCTTAACCGCATTCTGTCCTATCAGAAGCAATGGGAGATAAGAAGGAAGATGAAGGCCATTGGGTGGGCTGGCAAGACGCTCGAACAGGTCAGTATGAGGGGTAAGGCTTATTTCTTCCCAGTGTTTTCCACTGTTCTTTCATTTAAGACAGTGTTAAGAAGTAACACTTTATTTAACTGCAACTGTTACAACAAAATTCTGTGCAGAGTTAGGTGAGGTGAGGTATCTGTCATCAGCAGTGATAAATCTTAAATGATTCGCAGTCTGATGGAGTGGCAGGAAGGATGCTTTACCACACGTGCATCTCTGTTCATGTTAGTTTAGCTGACGGTCCTGAAAAACAGATTTTGAATTGCTGCCCCTCTCCTGTGGCATTAATAAGCACGCTTTGCAGGACTGCAGCTTCACTTCTCAGTAGTCTAAAATGAAAAGAAAAAGAAAGCAATTTGATGTGTAAGTTAGTACCTTCCAGTAAGCTAAGTTAAAAATTTCTTGGAAAGCACTTAATTAGAGTTGGCTCTACATTGAATGTGTGATTAAATAACACTTAGCTGCTGCCTTTAGCAGCTTTTGATGCTCCAGCATCGTATATTCCTTGTTCCCTCTGCCAGCACAAATATAGTAAGGAAGTACATATATATATTTACTGTTGTTCTTTTCTGACAATATCTTATCTCTTGTGTGTTTTGATAGGTGCTTGAAGATGTAGACCAGTGTTGTCAGGCTCTCTCCCAGAGATTAGGAACACAACCATATTTCTTCAATAAGCAGTAAGTTGCTCCCTACAGAAATGGTACATCCACAGAAAACCCCCACCCGTGTATCTATATAAGTATATTTAAAAACGTGCATACAGGTATATGTTTATTAATATGGAAACCTTCTCTTTTACTTTAATAGTTGAGGAAATTTGAATGGGTGGCTGCAATACAATTTCAGAAACAAGTCATTACAGATTTTAAAAGGAAAGAGCACCACAGCTCATGTAGGCTACAAGCTTGCACCTGTATACAGTTGATTTCTTAAAAAGAAAGAAAGAAAGATACTTTTATAGCTTGTATTTCTTAGGCGATGTTCTTTACTGAGCACAGGACAGGAGATAAAAGGAACAACCTGGCCTTTGTCAGATGTCTTTTGCTTCCATTCGTTGATGCCAACTGCAAAATGCTTTTTTTTTTCTCTCTGTAATTCATGTTTTTTTTTACATATTTAAATTAAATGCTAAATAACATCTGAGGAGTACTTCCTGGGCTGTATTCAGGGCTGATAACTATAGTGTAAGGAACTGTGCTGAAAACCTCCAGGTTTCTCAGGCTCTGGTTTTTAGGTATCCTCTGCAGCCAGTTGGAGGTTTTGTGGATTAAACAGTAGTAGGGGAGTAACAGTGAAAAACAGCAAAATGACCACTGTGTTTGTGTGACAATTACCCAGGAGATGCTGAAAAAGACTCTGTGATACCTGCTTTGTGTCCACTTCTATGAAATAAACATCGCCAGCTGTTGTCAGTCTGGAGCTCCTTTTCTAATTGGATAAGTAGCTCTTGAGTATGAAGAAGCACAAAAAGGGAATAGAAAGAGCTTTATTTTCCCCCTCTTTTATTGTAATTTTTAGTCAATTCATTTATTTATTTAGAAAAATAAATATTTATTTATTTGTTTATCTATCCCTTTCAATAAATAAAAGGGAGAAAACCCATGGTGGAGCATGGCTGACTTCGATCAGTAACTGTGCCCCTTCTATAAGTGTTATTTTTACATTGCCCAATTACCAAAAGGAAAGAAAGCTGAGATATTGAGAACTATGCTCATGCTATGCTCCTTTCCCACGTGTTTGCTAAATTCCTTGTTGCTTGTTTAATTCTCAGTTCTTAGATGGCATGGTTACCTGGAGGTTACTCAAACCAGAGATGGGATATTTCTCGATCAGGACCTGCCTTCCAAACTATCTGTTCTGTTCTTCTGTTTTTACAGACCAACTGAATTAGATGCTCTGGTATTCGGACATCTGTTTACAATCCTTACTACTCAACTAATCACTGATGAACTCTCTGAAAAAGTGAAAAACTATGGTAACCTCACAGCCTTTTGTAGGCGAATAGAGCAGCAATACTTTGAAGGTCACGATAAAGATAGCCCTGCAACTGCTTCAGCCAGATGTGCTAAAAGGTCCTTACTGAGATAAGCGTCTTGTTTGGTGGTCAGGGTGTGCTGCATTTCTGCTTTGTTTTTTGTTGTTTATTGAGTTGGTTTTGAAAATGTTTATTGAATTGGTTTTGAAGCTGCCAAATCATTCTGAAGCGAGAACTCCTCTCCAAACGTAGTGTTGTAGAATACACTGTGCACATTTAACTTGAAATGACTGTACGGGCACCTGGATTTCAATAGGCTGCATGCCACTTACTCTGAAGTGACCTTGAAAGAACATTGTGTCTGTACTAAAAAGAATAAAATATTTGTAAAAGTCCCTCTGATCTTTCTAAGTGGCTTTCACTAAGCTTCACGCCAGTGGAATAGTTTCTGCTCATCCTTACAGTAAAAAAGCACAAGGAATACGTGACATAGCGAATGAATCATTTGACTTTGTAATAAAACTCATTATAGGAAAACACTTCCTCCTTCTGCCAGCACTCCCGAGCCTTTCATGTGCTTGCACTTCAAAAATTAATGTCGACAAAAGTGCCAGCATTTGTAAACGAGTGGTCAAAAATAGGGCTCTAGGGCTTTTTTTTTTTTCCTTCCCCTCATACTATTCCTATTAGAATAACACTTCTACCTGGAGGAGAGCTGTATGGTAAACAGTCCAAATTACTGTTCTGGACAGCGTTAGAGAACTGAAGTTCTCCTGCCTCAGCCAAAATGCATCCAGGAACTGAGTGACAAAAATGTCTTGCAGCTTTGCAACATCACAACTGATGAGGTTCTATTCAGTCCTTATTTTGTGTCAGTGTGTCAGAACAGCTACTGGTTGTCATTGTGTTTGCCCTGTTTCTGCTTTTACTTCTTGTTCACCATTGGTTTTCAGATTAGAGTTCTTTTTCTTTTTTTTTTAATTCCAGTGTTTTTTTCCCTCAGTTTGTCTTGCTCTTTGTTTGAAAGGAAATTTGCTGGCTAAGCATCTGCCTGTTTCTACCTTCAGTATGTTAACACTGCTATTAAACTTTGAAATAGTTGCTGGGGTGGTTTGCTTCCTGAAATGAGGTGGTGTGAGCCTATGCTGGCATGCATCAGTCCTCCTGCCTCCATATCCTGTGATGCATGGCAGCACAATAAAATAATACAGCAGTAAGCAAAACTATATTCTTTGGTGCTCCAAAAACCCTGGCAATCTGGACCTTTTCAAGGAAAGAGAGACTGTGCGTAGGCCTCTGTCTTTCTGGTGTTTCTTTGAGCATGTTAAATAGCATCACTTTGCTTTGCTGTGTCAGTTGTGCTTGATGCTTTTCCAGAAGTGCTAACAACCCAGGGAAAATGCTGGTAGCAAAACCAGCCCTCACACGCTCTACACAAACCGGGAACCTGCCTGAGCAGTCTGACTTGTTGGAACCATTGTGTTTTGGTACCATGAAATATATTTATTTGGCTGTACCTTCCAGTGTCAGAATTACTGCATGGCTTGAACTGTTACGCAGTGATCGAGATTTTTGGCTGCTGTTTCCTCCTTAAAACCTGAGCAGAAAGCAGCAGCATACCTTGCATTGGCTGGGTCTCTCTTGGCTCTGTGGCTCATGAACCACTGCTACTTATTCACACTGCAAGGGACCAGCATTGCCAGCTCAACTGGAAAATGGAGCTGAATTCCTGCAGCTTGCTTTCTGATCTGGGACTCACAATGGAGTTGAACTAAGGTAAGTATCTGTGCGTAAGCGGGGCTTGGCTATCTATCAAATCACTTCTGCTAGGAGAGGAACGTTGCCCTTGTTCTGTGTTTCATCTTCTTAGCTTCGCAAGTTGGGCTTTAGTTTGAAAAGGATTTCAGACAAAACAACCATCTCTTAATTGCTTAGTGGCAATTTCTGCTATCAGTGTTGGTAGCTGAGAACCCAGAAGTTTCTTTAGGGTTACCTTTCCTGCATTAATGTCACCTCTGGAAAAACTAGGAAGTGAATTTGTTGCGGAGGTTTTCTTGGACTGGGGGGAATGGCATATTGTGATAAGCACTGCTTTGAGTGAAATCCTTTCTGACAGGCTTGAAAGCTAGCAGTGCCACAAGGTGGGGGATCCTGGATAAAAGGAATTATTTTAATCCAGAAGGATTAAACTTGGATTTACTTCCTATGAACTTCAGAGTGCCATTCATGAATGCAGGATTTAACTCAGCTCCAGTGGTTTTGGCAGTTCCGCTACCAGTAGATTGAACTACAGAAGTAATTTACTTGGTGGATTTCCAAAGCCACCTGTGCACAGGCACAAACTTACACATAGCCTGAGAAGCACCAGTGGGCATGTATTCTTCCTCTTTTAAGGCTGCAGTGGCCACTGGCCTATTTCTTAACTAATCTGAGGGATTGCTTTGAAATGACAGGGTTGGATTAAACCCCACTGCTGCATTTTGGCAAGAACAGGTTTCTCTGAGGATGAGCGAGCACCGGTAAGACAACAATTTGAATCCTGAGCTGATAGTCATTGCAAATGTTGTGTGGTAACACCTAGCAAGCTTTTAACTTCACAGGAAAAAAACCCCGCTGAGGTACTGTATGTATTCACCCACTTTGAATGTCTCATGTAGAAAACATGCCCAAATGCTGTGGAAGTGGTTCAGCAAAAGATAGCGATCTGTTCCAAGCAAAGTTTGTGTAAATCTGAGCTACTCAGACTGCACTTAAGGATATGGAGACAGGCAAATTACATGGAGCTTTCCATTCTGAAGTGAGAGGACATGCAGGGATTTGCAGGCTAACCTGAATAGTTTCTGAAAACTTAACCCCTCCCCCTCTTGCTTCTTGAGTCTGACTTTGATACCTTCCTTAGTAGTAGAACAAAATTTAAAAAGGATTTTTGATTTCCTTAAGAGCATACCCGGATTGTTCATAACTGCTTGTCCTTCTATGCAATCTCTAAACTGAAAACTACAAGAAAAGTCTTTGCTACTGATGCTGAAGATGGCTATTACACTCATAGATGGAGGACATCGAGCTCCAGCAATACAGGAAGCCGTGATGCTTTCATGAACTCAGCACTGAGGATCACGGCTTGCAGACCATGCTCTAGCTCTGGGGAGCTGCAGTCCTATAAAGGACAATGACTGCTGCTGAGCTGCTGTGTACAGCTCAAGAAAAAGAATGAAAGCTGAAACATGACCAGACATAAAGCCAGGTAGGAACTTCTTGTTTCCCAAAATTAGGACAAAAATAAGATTTCTAGCACAAGGCATGTCAGAAGCAGCTGTGCCATGGCTTAATGTACATCCTCTGAATATGCTCCTACCACAAGAACTGCAAGGATCATTCAGCCAAAGTGGTACAAGTGGTCGTAAAAGCACTTATTTACAAGTGAATGGACACTGTGGAGCCTGAGCAACACATACATCACTTACCCTTGGTGGATTTCTTCTCATTGCCTTTCTGTTCCATTAGTTGTTTCATACGGAGATGCTCAAGCTGAATGAGTTCTTGCTGGAAAGTGGCACGTGCTTTCCTTGCCTGACAGAGCTAAACCAAATAGGAAAGCTGTGGTGAAAATAACTGCTCCTCTGTTCCCAGGGTGCTGCTGTGGCATTGTGTTGCCTGACTACAGCAACTTCTGCATCAGCTGTGGGGTGATGGAGAAACTGGTTTCAGAGATGAGAGTGGTGGTACAGCAGGCACTTGTACTGCAGGCACTTGTAGGCTGAGGACAACAAATAGAAGAGGGATTTTATTGTTTACTGTTGCTTATACTGTGTACGACAGATGTGATTGCTGCAGACTGAAACAAAGTCCAGTTTTAGAGATGTTTTATAATTATATAACTCTTCATACACAAGAAAAGCGGCAGTGTTACTGTGCATCCTTTTTGGATGTTCAGAGTTGTGCCCTGTAGGCAAAAGGTTAGCTGCTGGCAGTGTCTCTGCCTTGAATCTGTGCAGCAAGGCCTGCTGCCTGGGAGGACTGAAACCATCATCATGAATTTGAACATTAAATAATATAGACAGGGTTGTTTACGTGGGGCAAACAAAAGCCATTCTAAAAACTAAAAACCCAACTTGGAACCTTGTGTGTCTTGCTCTTGTCCAAACGCATTAACACCTCTGCTGCAAATGTTTGAGGGTATCTCCTTTCTCTCTCTCTCTCCCTTTTTGATTATAACTGAACTATTGCATGGCCCCATGTTTTCCTAATGGCTTTTAATAAGCAAGGGCTGCCCTGCCTCCCACGGAGTTGAACATCCCTTGGCCAGCACAGGTTAGCTCAGTGGGTAGAAGTGTGGGGCCCTGTATCCAAATGTACAGCGTGGGAAATGGAGCATCCACCCAACTTCACTGTGAGCAGTGACAGGAAAACAGCCCGGGATGTGGAAGTGTGAAAGCAGCTGGAATTTCAGCTGCAGGCCTTACAGCGCTGATCCTGGTTTCCAGCTCACAGCTCTCCCTGAGCCCCTGCTTCTCCTGTCCCTCCCTGAAGGCAGTTCTCCACTGGGGAGTGTCTGCTGCTGCGTTTTGTACTGCTGTGATGAGGTTACCAAAGAAACATTAGGTAAAGGATCTTCGGATTTAGCAGCTTTCTCTAGGATTTATCACTCCATACATCAGATAGTAAAAACTGTAGTACTGAGTGGTGTTAATGAGATATACATCTGCTGTGTTCTCTGTCTTTTATTTCTCTTCCACCTCTCCAAGGAAAAAAAAAATAATCTGGCAATCTCCTGCTTCTCAAATGTACTTAAAATGTGGGCTGGTGGAAAAAAAAGAGCATAGCAAGCCCTGCACATGGAGAACGCTGCTGAGCTGCACTTAATGATGCCTCTTAGGATCAGCCACGCTGCCTGAAAATGCTTCATTTCCTGTGGCTTTCCTTCTTTACAAGCAGAGTGCAGCTCCAATGGCTCTCACAACAATTATCACCCACTTGTTCTGCAGGTTTGAAGTTTTTTGCATTAGTCAGGTTGAGAAATTCATGGTATTAATCATGACTGAAGTTGTTATTTATCACCTGCTGGGTGAGAAATAATAATTTTGGCACTACTGGGGCAGCAGACCAGAAGTACCAAATTAAGTAAAACATCTAAACACCAGCAAGGATCATTTCTCTGATTAATGAATTGTTACAAAGAAAAAATGCTATTTGTTATCTGATCTTAGGATAAAAGTGGAACTTGGAAGTAAAAACCATTAGCGCAGTCCGGTTGTGCTGTGATGTAGTGCGGAACCTTCCTGGCAGATCTCTCTGCTGTCACTCACCGACTGAGCATGCACTCACGCGTGGCACAGTCGCAGTACTTGGCTCACACTCCCATTGCCAACTTTGCAAAAAGCAGCGTTTGGCAAGAAGCTCAGGGCCCATTGTGTAATGGCTGGAAAGAAATGTTGAAACTACTTTCACCTTCTAGGACTTGCCTGGGCTGGAAGGTTTTGCCATAGGAACAGTCACCAGACTGGCAAAACACCATTGTGTGAAGGCTGTAATGGGGGCACAGGAAATAAAATAAGCAACATCAATAGAAGCGAGTTTATACCCAGGTAACTGGGTGACCAGAGGTGTTTCACATATAAATGCACAAACGGCCTACACAGACATGGTTCCATAGAAATGAGGTGAGTGTGTGCTCTTATAATTGCAAACCACTGTGCCACCATGGTGTGCCCCATCCTCTCCCTGAAAGACTGTGGTGCGGAGCTGAGGAGCTGGCCAGGTAGGAATGCCCATGGACACTCCATTTTTTGGGTTCATAAATGAGATGTAAAAACTTGCTCTCAGCTTCAAATACGGTCAAAGAACTCAGCCCTGTAGAGAAGGGACACCACTGAAAAGAAATTAACTTTGGGCTCCATTTTTTTGTTGTGGTTTAAAGAAGAAACAAAAAAAAAAAAAAAAAAAAGAACAGGACTTGCTTTAGAGGCCCTTTTGGGCTCCAGCTAATACATTTTCTGGAAAGAAGACACAGTCAAAACCACTGCTGTCTACCAAACCAGCATGCATAGAGGCTGACTTGAAACCATGAGCTGACATTAGAGGCTGATGTGACATCATGCCTTTCCTAAAGCAAGCTTTACTGCACATATATGCTTTATAACGTAGATTTTTTTTTTACCTTTATTTTACATTTAAGAAGAAATTGAGAGACCTCAGGGAAGTGGGACGTGATGGTCACTTTCTCTACATGAGTTGCTGCAATCACCTGTCTCCTAGGGTCTGCGCCTTCTGTTCAGTGACAAGAATTTGAAATGAGAATGAAGAGGATGCCCAGTCACAAGAGCAGCGAAGGGGCTGGCGAGTGGAAGGCCATCCTCCTAGGCGGAGCAGGAGCCATCGGGGGTATTGGTGCCCTTCTGCAGGCACTGAGGGGAGGAACTAGTGCTGCTCAGCCTTGATCAATTTTGTGGTGCTGGAATGAAGAGCAGCCATCACTCATGCTGCTTAAACTACGGCATGATCCTGCTGCCAGAGCGTGCTCCTTTTTTGCCTTTGTCTTCTCATAATGAATTCACATTCTCTACCAGTTCTTGCCAAAGACTTTCCAGCTGTGGATCAACCTCTCTCCTCATAGACCTCAGGCTCTCTCTGTCATCCCCTCATGGATGGGAGCATCTCCTCTCTGTGCTTTTATCTACAAAGCAGAATTTTGGCCAGCTTCTCTTGACTTTGAAGCTATCTTTTGCTGGTCACATGATTCTCTCACTCTTGTGATCAGCAGTTCTGTCACTGATGCCCTGGATAATCACCTGAGATTATCTTGTGATGAATGCCTCTCATCTTTCAGATGTTAGGAAGCTGTTAGGCTAAGAGCTGCCCCTTTCTTTTCTTCTCAAGACAATAAAAACTTCCCTTCAAGTCCACTTTCTGCTTCCACGTCAATTCCTGTAAATTCCTCTCTAAAATTCCACTGCAGTTTCTGTTGGCTCCTTCCCTCAGAAGTGAGAGTATTTTGATCTACAGTGCCTCCTAGCCAAGAAGTATACAGCCAAATTACTGACTATCTCTAAGATCTCTTTCATTTGCAGCTTAAGTCTGTGTTGTAGCATGCTTAAAGAACCAGTTGATGGAGATCAGTAGTTTGGGGGCATGATGGGAAGGGTACTTTTCTATCTACTTGAATAAATTCATCTCCAGCATATTTTGTCATAGGTTATGGTGTTTTGCAAAAGGCAGGTAGGTTTATGCATGTGTGTGATAATCACCAGCATTAGGCCAGACCTGCTTGTTAACTTTTGTATGACAAGCAAGCATGAGCACACAAGGCTTTCTCTTATGTCAAAACACGCTTGTAGCAAAGCACAAAAACAGTGCTGTGCAGAATGCTGCCCATCAGCTGATGGGAACGTTTCTGACACACACACAGGACAGCTCCTGCGTACCTGTTTCAAAGGAGGAGCTTTTATTTGGTTCAGCGCGCTGTCCTGGGGCCCTTCCTGCCTTTGCTGCTACTTCATGGTCTTCCTATGCTGGGAAAAGGAACGTAGCGAAGTTTTTAGGCCTATGGATCCCACTGTCTGCTCTGCATTGGAAGAGATTCCTCACACCACTAAAATCACCTTAGAGCAAACAGAAAAACCAGCTTTCCAGGCTTGCTTAGATGGAAAGAAGCACCCTTCAACCCCACCGTAACCTGCAACTCTGAGTCCTCATGCCACTTCCGCAGGAAACAGAAGGCTGACAAAGTCACTCAGTTTCATGATGTGTTTCCACAGGCCACGATGCCTAAAATCTGCTTTTCTGACTCACAAATCACAGAAAATTGCAACAAGGTGGGGTTTTTTTTTCTTTTTTTTTTCTTTCCCCTGATTAAAATTCAACAGTGGAAAATAACAGGAATTAAGACGAAAACTCATTTGGCTAACACAGCTCTGTAAAATCTATTTGGAATGCTTGTATTAGAATAGTAAAAATCATCAATGACTTACTGAAAAGCAGGCTGAGAAAAGCTTGGGAGTGCAAGGAGCAACTCCTCTCTGCTGAGGGGTTAAGAGCGTGAAATGCTTAAATGAAGTTTTTAAAAGAGGAAAAACTGATAGCAACAGGAGAAAGGAGCTCCATTTCAGTCCTTAGCTCAGATCAGTGGGTTTGTCAGTGCCTTGTGCTCTCTCTGCAGTGAGTTGGAGCCATCTCTTGCACTGCAGCCAGCAGAAGTTGTTTGACGCATCACTACAACACACGTTTGAAACGTCACTGATCTGCAATCAAAGCAGAGATTTCTACCCAAAGATTACAAAATACTTGGCAAACTAAACCAAGTGGATGAGTCAGATAGCAAAACCTGTTCAACAGAAGAGCAAAGTCAAGACACAGCAGTTGCAAGTAATTTGTCCCAAATGCGAGCAGAGCAAAATCTGGACCAGGAGTCTGGAGGCTGCCTTCCCAGCTCCACGCTCCAACCTCCGCACTGCATTCTTTGCTTCTCTCTTAACCACAACGGCCTCTGAAAATAACCCTTCAAAGGCATTTCTTGGTAGTAACAAATGAACCATCAAAACCTAAACAAAGAACCCAGCAGTCGAGACGACGCGAGTTAACAAACAGAAATAACTAAGCCCGCTTTGTCCTCTGCTTATTTCCAAACGGATAAAACCCAGGTCATTTGTACAGACTTCCTCCTTCCCCTCTCCTGTGCAGCCGCTTAGGAGTCCCCAGGAGACAGCACCATTTTCCTTTGCTTTCCAATCTTTAAAATATATTCATTCCAGTTTTCAAATT